TATATATATATATATATATATGAGTTGAAGTTGTAATATTTTAATATTAGTAATATGCATTATTGGATCTTTAGTCCATATATATTCAAAGTATACATATATTACATTTGTACGTATCAATTACTAAACAAAGCGACATCCTTTTGGAGCCTGCCCTACCCATATTGTTCCACTCTTATTTCACATGTCATCCAAGAAAGCTTGGAGGTTGATGGTGGACGATCCGCCATTGTTGAGAGCTTCTCTTGCCAAATTCCTCCATTTCTCTGCGTTTTTCTTCATTTCCTCATCTCCCATTACTATTTCCACACACCTCTGGATCTCCATCCCTTCCAGAATTCCATCTCCTTCCCTCCTCCTCACCCTAATCCCTGTTCTCCAAACATCTTCAACCATCTTCCCGTTCGTCTCCTGATCCGACCATTGTGGAAACACCGCCATCGGAATACCAGAAACCAACGCCTCCACCGTTGAATTCCACCCACAATGCGTCAGGAAACACCCGATCGCTTGGTGGCTCAGCACCTCAGCCTGAGAACACCAATCCACTATCATCCCCTGTTTTTTCAGTTCCTCAATCTTGCTCAATCTTTCTGCAATACCACTGTCTCCGATTGCCCACAGAAATGGCCGTCGACTCTCCACCAACCTAATAGCAATCTCCTCCATTTGATCCATCGAAAAAGTCGCTATGGTTCCAAACGAAACATACACAACTGACGATGTTGGTTTTGTGTTTAACCAATGGATATAACCATCCTCCGACTTTTCGAAGAAATCTTTCCCGGAGGTTTTATTCATAGACTCCACAACTTCCGACGGGACCAAGGGTCCAATTGGAAGGTACTCAAGTTTCTCAATTGCTCTGATGGATTCGAATTCTAGTTCACCAAAACTGTTCACAAGTATTCTTGAAGATAGTTTGAGTACATCAACATGTTCTTTCATAACTGGTACGAGAAAAGCATGTTCTTTAGGGCATGACTGCAATAAAAACGACGGCAAATCAGCGATGGTTAGTGGTGGGAGTCCTGGTAAGTTTATCGGAAATGTTGGATCACTGTTGTTACTGGATATCAGACTTTGATAGTCATTGAAATAGTAATAGTAAATATCCATAATAGTGGTTGATTGGCACCAGAGAACAGTGGGTTTGATGCCGTGGGCATTTGCCACCCGCGCCGCCCATGGGATGACGGTGGTGTAGACCAAGTGGTCAAACGGCTGGCCGGCAGCAGTGGCAGAACTGATGATTTCTGCTACGGCGGAAGCACCATTTGTAGCAAAATCGGCGACGAATTGTTGCAGGGTGGTATTAGGTTGTTTTCCGCTGTCGTGGCCGTCGGAGAAAGGAGCGAAGGTCAGGCCGTGAGGGGTGGTCTCCTTTTCCAGGCGTCGTACGACGGATAGGCTAGTGGAATAGGTGACATCGACACCCATGTTGAGGAGGCGTTTGGCGAATCGGAGGGATGGGATGACGTGGCCTTGGCCCGAGTAAGAGACAATCAGGATTTTCCGGTGGCTAGTCATGGCGGCGAAGGGCGGTGTTGAATTGGAGGAAGGAAGTGCACAGAATCACAGGGAAACAAGTAACATCCACATGGAAGATGTCTTGAGATTCTTAATGTGTGGTTTGGCTGACAAATGTCTTCATCAACTTGACGAAGGAGCAAGTCTTTGCCAAGTTTCATCATCTCTTTCTAAAGACGTACACAATACGATACAACTCGTCTTACCTACTAAGATGGACTCGGTTAAAGTTGACTTGACTCGTTTATAGCTATCTAATACTCGATTTGAAAATTGGTGAGGTAGTCGATTATTTTATATATAATCAATTTCAAAATATAATAAATTTTTATGATTAAATTTATAAAATATAAATAATAAAAACGTCTTATATTTTTAAATATTTAAATAAAATTATGTATTTTTTAATTATAAAAATTAATCAATTATTTTTTTATTAGAATCACAATTAAAAAAAGATAAAAGAAAATTATAAAAAGAGTTAGTGAATTTGTCTCACATTGGAAGAAAGATGGTAAAAGAAGTAGAAAAATGTTATAAAAAGAGATAGAGAAAGTTAAATGAAATTTCTAAATTTGTCTTTTTGATGATAAAGTTTGAAGTTAATCCTTTTAGTTTTTTATAAAAACTAAGAGAACACCTTTAAGTTTCAAAATTTATAAGAGAAAAACCTTAAATTTTCATAAATTTCAATGAGTTCGAGTTCAAACTTGATTTGAGTTGTAGTTTGAGCTTGTTTCGATCTTGATTCGAGCTTGAGAAATAGTTATCGAGTTCGAGTCGAGCTTTAATTGTTACTACTTGCAAGTTTTCGAGTCGAGTTCGAGCTTGAAAATTGGGTTTCGAGTTCGAGTCGAGTATAGTGATACTCAAGCTCGACTCACGTCATTTACATCCCTAATCTCTTCTATTTCATTTTTATGTAATTAACATATATTTTTTAAATAAAATTATGAATCATTTTTATAAAACTGTAATTTTTATTTTGGTTAATGTAATTGTAAAATTTCTATTTTAAAACATGTCATGTCAGTTCAACAAGAGGCATTTGGCGACTAGATTACAATGGTTGCAAATAAGGCGTTGAAGGATGTTTGGGCGGGGTTGTGATAAGTTACCGAGAATCATTCTCACGTGTTGTATCCTGCATAACATTATGATCGACATGGAAGGAGAAGAGATCTTGGATGAACCAACGGCATTTTGTGAACCTGACCACGGGTATCCGCTGCAGAAAAGTAAATTGGCCGATGAAGACGGTGTGGTCATGAGAGACAAGCTGTGTCTCTACTTGGCCGCTTGAATCTGGTTCAAGAAATCACATCAGACCATCCAAATATGTCGGTTTTTTAACTATTCCGGTTTGCATACGAAGACTAAACCTTGGTTGTGTTTTGCTATACATATAAACTTGAAATGGTTTTTGCTTTTTAACCATCGAGTTCTTTACCTTTATCAACTCCTGACTTTACTGCCCCTAAGATGTATGTCACTACTCGGCCATTAAACTGAATGAGTTCATGGTTTCATGCAGCAACGCACCAGCTGAAAGCATTGCTCCTTAAAAACGAGTTTGGAAGCAAAGGAATGCATCAGCTTCCCCGACCTTATTTTCTCTTAACCCGGCTGAAACGTAGGTATTTTGGGCTTCGTTCGTATCTCATTATAACAATTTTTAAAAGATATCGGGTAGGTAGTCGGGATGGCTAAGACATGTGACTGCACCATCAAATATATGCACCCTGATGGTGTGTCGAATCCAGTTCAGTTACTAATAGAAAGATTATACATTGCCTTAAATAACACATGGACATCATTAGTCTTGATACTGTACAAAGATTGTCTTTGATTACCTCAAACTCGGCTGCACCAAATCTCAAGTCTAAACCCTCGGAACGTGCAGCTTCAGGACTCTTGGAATCGGTTTAGTAATTCTACTTGGGCTAAAGAAGTCATAAAACCAGCCTCAGATTCATTCCTGGCAATAACCAGAATTGATATTATCAGTAATTCTTCATGATATGATTCCGTCCCAACAATTTTACTACAAAAAACAGCTTCTGAATTCAGTAATTAAGTTCGGCAACAGAAGCAACTTTTACACGTAAAATAAGAGATTACCTCAGATGAGTAAGAGCATATTTCTTGGCTAAGGAACAAAACCTGAAATGCAGAAAAATAACGTCTGGTGAGCATATTTCTAAGGATGCATTTGGTACATGACATGAGGGGCGAGAGTGAGGTAGAGGGGCGAAAGATTTACAAAAAGATTTTATCGTTTTAATTTGACACAGGTTGTTTAGTAATCTACCAATCTTTTTTATCTCCCTAATCTTTGTTCCACCTATTTTGTTGGGACAAAAAAAAATGCATTTTTGTCCCAAAGTCCTGTCTTGTCCCAATGTAACATTTCGACAAGTTTTTGTATGCAGGACAGGATAGGGCACAAACTTGTTGTCCCACCTTTGGCATGTAATTTGACCAGGCAGGATATGACCTAAGTGGGACAAAAATGCATTTTTTTCTCTTCCATCAAATTAGGTGGAACGAAAATCAGCGAGATGGACAAGATTGGTAAATTACTAAACCACTCATGTCATGTTAAAACCCTAAAACCTTCCAGAATTCTTTCACCCCTCTACCTCACTCTCGTCTGTCCAATTGTGTCCAGTCTAATATCAAGTTTTTGTAATAAGAAACTGAAAAGACGGTATGAAACAGACAAGATGAAGGTGGTAGAAAGACTAAAGTTCTCCAAACATCTCCCAGTCGGTCCTAAACTTAGACCCCACTAACCAATATTTGCAAAAAATAATATGTATGTAGATTGTAGACTAGAGTGTCACACTTGACGATCTTGTAGCATTTACGGTAAATGAGCATGCCAAACTCAAAAAATACCTGTGCTACCCTGAAACCGGTGGATTATGTTTGTTGTTATCGATGGCCAACATGAATCTCTTGCCCCATTGTTGCATCAGAGAATCTGGAACCAGTTCATCACCAACAAAAGCATTCCACGTTTGCCCTGCGCTACTAGCAATAACCCAATTGATCTTGCTTGGAGGACTGCTAAATGATGAAGCTCGCTCTTTTCTAGAAATGCTTTTCTTCCATGAATCATACGATCCATGGTTCTGAAAAGAAACAGTAAGCCATTGTAAGCCATGGGTGCAATAAACCAAACCAAACCAAACTAAACAAGCCTACCATACCCCACCCAGAGGTGGGTTTTTGGGGTGAGGTACTCATATCTGACCTCCACCCTGCATTGTGCATAGTGTGGGAAATAATCGCAGAAAAAGAACTTCAAAAATGAGAAAGGCGGTGTTGAAAATTGAAAGACGAATACAAGTCAATTTGTAAAATTCAACCTTTATAGAACTGCGTAATTTAAAAGCCTTGGAAAGGGGCAAATTGTTTTCTATAAGTTCTTCTAGTACAACTGATAATGGCGAATTTTCTTCCAGTTCTGCAAGGTGCTTTTGGGCAGCTATCAAAGATCGGAACTTCTGTCCAGTCCCTGGTTCATAATAATACTGCAACATAAAGAAAAATCTCTAATTCTGGTACTTGATTCATAAGAAATAATATTAAGAAAGACGAGGCAAATAACTCCGTACAGTTAAGAGATAACTCCCAACAAATGCAAGGCATGAACTTGAGAAAATTCAATAAATGTTAAACAAGTGGCAAATAACTCCCTATATGTATCTCATGTTATTTTACTGATTAAAGGCTGGTGACATAAAAGATAAAACAAATAATACATGTAACTAAAAGTGGAATATTACCCTGTCGACGTGACCTCCTGTTTTTCTGGGCACCTCCTCCACAATCCAACCATCTGGGAGTTTGAAGGGTAAGGTGGATGGAAAGCTTGTGGGAGTTACATTTACCAATTGATATTCATTATATTTATCCTCTTCGAAATCTAGCATCTGTAATCACCACTAGAATTCAGCATGAGTATTACCATCAAAGTTAGGATAATGTAAGTTTTGTTGGATTTTCTACATACATTGGATCCAACTAGTTAATAGTCAGCTCGGAAAAAAGTTAAAGAAAGAACACGTTATGGACCATATCAGTTTTAAATACCAACCAGCTCAAAAGTTAACAAGTACAAATTTAAATCCAGAACCAAGGAAAATCACTTTCTCCAAAAATTTACAATCGCAACAAGAGCAAGGATATTCGATATTTTGAGTTCTTCCGATTTAGAACTCACTTGTTGCACAACTAAAAGCTTACCTTTCCACCAGAGACGATCTTCTTTCGACTGCCACAATTCTCCAAATGCTAAAAAACACAAATAAATAGATGCATTGGTGGATAAACTCACATTTATAACCTTAAGAGTATGTAATTATATTTATAATCAAACATTATAAGTGGTGAAGAAAGAATCTATTACTCTCACCTTCTTATGGTAGTTTAGCCTCTTGGCACTTGATCTAGTAGGTGTACATCCCTCTGTAAGGAATCTCTCAACACCTTTCAGCGATCGAAACTTTCGTCCAGTTTCTGGATCATGGTAGTACTGCAGAATAGTATTAGAAATATCTAGTTAAATGTGGATGCTAATTGCAATACTTGTATCATAAAAAATGTCCAGTTTTTTAATGCTTAACAAGCCCTCTATCATAAACCATCATCTTTGTTGAACTCATTTTTGTGTAAATGTTTTCCGGGCGCCAATATTCCACCCTGTAATCGCCATAGATTTTATTATTCTCAGAAGGTGATGGAAGGAGTAGGAAAAACTAAAAAGCGAGGAACAGTACTGAAATGAAAAAAACATTCGGATCACTTGGAAGTTCGTATATCTAAAATATTGCCCTGTGTTTAAACTCTTGAAGCATTTTTATAAAGTTCACCATCCAGTCATCCACCATACGCCAACTGTAGAAGAGTTTTATGCTGTTCACATCATTGTTGTTTCCTTGGACATTTTTATCTCCATCGCTAAAACTTCAAAATATTTCTATACAACACTTTTTCGCAGTCTAATACTTCCTCACAAGTTTCAACCTAGAAGATTACACAATTAGAAGAATCTTTAACCACTGCTTATCTGCTTGATAAGATATTGAGTTAGAGAGAAAGCAAGCGACTTTATGACTGTTTACTTTTTCTTAAGTATAATTGCAGTTTCCCAAAAGCTAAGCAGTTATCATGAATCAGATCCATTGTTCTTATCATCTGTTCAGCATATTACCTTGTCAATGGTCCAACCAGACTTGCGGGGCACCTTTTCCACAAACCAATCTTCAGGTAGAGTAAACTTTGAGGTGCCACACTTACGTATCAGAGTCATCTGCATAGCATGGGTATCATCATATAAGGGCCTTACATATTTTCTCCCATAATTTTCATACCAACTAGTTTCTCTTGAACCAAAAGAACCCCCTTTTCGTTGAAGTTTATTGTTGCCAAACAAATTTAGCATAGGGAGCTCATAAAAGAAATATTTTGGCATATTTCCCTTTCAAGTAACTTTGGCTTGGAGGAATCAAGCTGCAAAGGAGCACAAGGTGGAATAAACAAAGGCTTAAAGTGTTGATGTCACACAGTCCCAAATTAAACAAATTTGCAAACTTTATTTGACACAAACAGTAGATGTCAAACCAACAAAAGAATGCAGAACCAATTGAATAAATTAAAATGAACAAACAGAACATGTGATAAGCAAATAAAGAAAGTACACAAATTAACGTGATGTTTCCGTTGGTGTATGTCCACACACAAAAGGAGGAGGTTTTATTGATGGAGCATACCTAAAACCCGAAGATGAATTACAGACTGAAAACACAAAATTGTATTTGAACTATCTATGAAATCTCTCTCACGAACTATTACCTCCCTAAATTTGTGCATGCTCAGATGGAAACCCATGGCGATGGGGTCTATTTATCCTAAGCATATGCATATCCAAGAATCTCAAGTTGATCGGAACGCAAAAGGAATCGAATTTTCGGAATCATCGTGGCACACGGCCATGCATTGATTAGAGCGTACTGCCATGTCAATGGCGTGCAGCCATGCCAGATTTCCCAAACCTTACTGTTTTCACAATTTCAAAGAGCATGGTTGTGCCAAGTGTTTTCCTCATATTATCGCGGTTTGTCACAATCAACATAAAGTACCCAAAGACGAAGAAACAGATAAAGCTTACATTTGCTCCAGAGGTGTTCATCTTCCGATCCCTTGAATTCTGTAAAAATACCAAGAATAAAAGCTCATTACAGCTCTGAGAGCTTAATAGGCGAAACCACTTTCCTGTTGAAACTTGATCACGAAATAAACATCACCTTAATTCCATAGTCAAGTCTCAAGGGTCCAGATCTAGTAGCTCTATATTCTTCAACGTTCAAGTATCTCTTAACCTCATTTCTGGATCTAAATTTCCGCCCTGTTGCAGGTTCAATGTAGTACTGCACAGTATGATAACAATATATAATGATATCAATTTCAACCCACTTTAGACATGAAGAAGACATTAGAAACCAGAAAAACAAGGCACTCTTCGAGTTTTAAACTCATGAAATAAAGTGCTAGGTGATAAGCCAAAATCGATTAAGCTGATAGGTTTTATACCACATTTTTAAAATGAAAATTGATGAAAAGTAAATTCCAACCAAAATCTTGCTAAATATCCAACATAATAGGGGGAAAAACCACAAATACGCCTATAGAGGCATCATGCATGCGTCTAATTCTAAAAGGAAGAGAAAAAAAGGGGAAACTGAACTCCGAATGAAGAACAAACGCAATTAATCAGATAAAATTATTCAATTACTTTTCCTTTTACATAAGAGTAATGTACAGTATGTTCGGATGGACCTTGTCGACGCGAATGCCGTCGGAGCGGGGGACCTGGTGGACGAGCCAGCCGTCAGGGAGGGAAAACGGTGAGGAGAATGGAGTAATCGAAGACGAATCGGAATTGGAAACGGAATGTGAAATAGGAGTTACGACGTCGACAATAGCAAGTTGACGTTGGAAGGCGTAATCCTCGCCGTCGGTTACCGGCTCCGCCATTCGTCGGGAAAGTGTCGTCGGAAGACAGTAGGACTAGGCAATAGCATTGTTCATTCGTCAGTTATTGGGTTTCTTGCACTTTATAGTTTACAACTTTATATATCAGCACTTGTAAGTTTGGGCCAAATAACTTCTGTTGGGCTCCTATGTTGGGCTTCAATTAGGGATTTTTGTATATTAATTTTAAAATGGGTAAAATGCACAAAATAGCAATCTACTTTCATAAATTTCTTTATTATAACATTGTACTTTCAGTTTTTCTTATTACAACAATATTATTTCAAACTATTTTTTATTAAGACAATGTACTTTGAATAATTTATCCATTATAGCATTGGGTAACCTTTTGATTTAAATTTATCCATTATACTAGGTTTACATGCCACCTCATTGTCCACGTAGGCTGTCCACATGTACTATAATGATGTGACTTTATTGCCACATCATTTTACTTTCAAAATTTATTTTATTATAGCATCTACTAGTTCTTATTAAACACTATATTTTTAATTTTAATATTTAGATATTTTACATGTTATTTAATAAATGTATTAAATGAATTAAAAAATTCTAAATTATTCATTAATATATCAATATCAATAAAACTAGTAGAACACAACTTATCTCGCTAACATTTCTAAAAAATATGTGTTTTTTGAAAAAAGGAAAATAAGAATTGTTCATTTTTTT